GCTCCCCCTCGGGCTGGAGCTCTGTGGCTGCCACCAGGGCCAGAGCTCCACAGCTACTGCTGCCACCCCTGAACTCCACAGCAGACCAGGGGCCGGGGGGGGGAGGGCAAAGCAGAGCCAAGCCTCGGAGCGCGTGGGCAGCGGACAGCCCTGTCCGCTGCCCACGTTTTCCGCCGCTTTGCTTCCTCTCCCTGGTCTGCTGGAGATCCGCGTAACTCGGGGACTGCCTGTATATGTTTGTAGTTCAGGAGTCCAGACCTATCATCTTCATGTGGCACCCAGGCCAAGAAAGTAAAAGGTCCAAAGCCAGATAATTCATGTAACACAATTTGGCCTTAACTACACCAGCTATATGAAATCCGGCACAGTTTCACCACCTTTGTCACAGATCGATCAGCAATAGGAGCACTAGCATATACAAGGCGCCACTTATCATTGTGTTTTGTTTTCGTTACAATTACTAAGCCCCCAATGAACAGCTTTAGGTGGCAAGGTGGCAGAAATAGCAAATTGCCAATGCTGGTCTTCTTTAGGGTGCGTGGTGTCCTGAATACCTGTGGAGCTGCACTCCTGTTAAAGAAATAGTCAGATATTTCCCAAAAGGACACAACACAAGTGTGGACACAACACATGTCAATCCATTAGGATAATCAATCTCAAATATGAATTCCAGTATATGTTATGTGTAGTGACCAATGACCTATCATACAGAGGACTCAGGTTATTGAAGGAAATTATTGAGGCAGAAAGTGTTCTGATTGTGATTCCATTAAATTTTGGAATAGCCTGACAAGAGACTAGACACTTGAAACAGTGCTGATAGAATCAACAAGGAAAACTGCATGGCCTTGTCTCCATTTTCTGCACTATTATTCACAGTCCCTGCAGTCTGAACTGTGGGGCGATGGTGTTGTGTACTCCCTAATGTGAACACGGAGTAAGGGTGTAGACTAAAAGCTTTTTAGTTTGTGGTTACCATAGTACTCTTCAAATAGATCCACATTAACAAGAACTAGGAATATTTTAGTTTATGACCAAAATGTCCTCACTGGGAAATTAAAGACAAGAACTTTGGTGTTCACTACTATTCACAACCCACTACTATCCTGCAGTGCAGCATAGATATACAGTAGCCTGTTAGTAGTTTTTTGCCTAATTTTCAATTAATTTTTTGTGTATACATATACAAAGCAGGTAAAGACCTCATAATTTGCATCTGTAAATTTTGTTTCACTTGCTATATTCTTTTCCAAACAGTCATTTAACTAACTTGCTTTAAAAGATTTTCAAAACATATTCATGTATTCAGACAGTAAATTTGTATTACCACTCTTCCAGGAGCGGAAATGCTTTTGTTTGATGGGCCTCTCAGACAAGGGCAGAAGTCTTCCTGTTATTGTGTATGTATGTTTTAATAGTCCTCAGAGCCATGGTGTCTTTTGATTGCTTCAGATCTATCACCTTCCTCTCTTCAGAAATAGCACTGCACACTACATGGTTGTAGAGAGAGAAATGCATTGGGGGTGAGCTGGAACTCTCATTAGACAGTTGGCTTGCTTCTTTATTTTGGCGAAGATAACATACAATTGCTTTCAAAGCCACATTTTGAATATAGGCAGTCCCCGGGTTATGTACAAGATAGAGACCAGGGAGACGGGGACTGCAGACCAGGGAGACGGGGAGCAAAGCCTTGGAGCACGCCCACAGGGGGACAGCCCAAGCGCGCCTGGGCTGTCCCGCTGCAGGCATGCTCCAAGGTCTGCTGGTCGGGAGACGGGGAGCAAAGCCACAGAGGACGCCCTCAGGGGAACAGCTCAAGCGCGCCCGGGCTGTCCCACTGCGGGCGTGCTCCAAGGCTTTGCTCCCCGTCTCCCTGCAGACCAGGGAGACGGGGAGAAGCTTTTCTCGCCCCGGAGGACGGGGGCGGCGGACCGCGGCGCATCTGGGCATCTTGCCGCTCCCGTCCTCCGGGGCGAGAAAAGCCCCGTTCGTAACTGCGGATATGACATAAGTCGGATCCGCATAATTCGGGGACTGCCTGTACTCACTACCTCTCAGTGTTTTTTCTGGACTTCTTTTCGAGCTTTTACATTTTCCTAGGTTCTCACCCAAGCAGAGTTTTGTTGAAGTCTTGGGAGAAACAAGAAGGGATTGTGGGATACATGGGAACACTGGGAAGGATCTATAGATGGGCCAGGAGGGCAGAGGCATGGCCAGGATGCCCACAACCTAAGATCTACTGGATCCATTTTCTGGTTGAGAGATGAGAAGGCATAGGAAACTGCGCTTACTAATATATGTTATGAGCTGTCATATCTGCAGCCGGCTAAACAGATACTCTTCTGACAGGCCGCAGAGAATATCACTACCAGGCCAAGTGAATAGGAAGTAAATAGGAAAACTGACTTGTTAAAAGTCTACCACCAAAAAGACAAAGTGTTATAGCAGCTTGTCCTACCCACATTATTCCTATCTCAAATCTGGTCCATTACCTCACACTGTGCTTCTAGAATGTTTATAGAGCACTATGGAAACAGGTGCAATCCACATAATGACAAAGGACCCCATTCACAAAAACAAAAGGCTTGTTCAGGTTTTGCTTGTGTGAAACAAAGCCTCATGCTATTTTGCTCCCGACCCACTTACAGACCCAGCAAGCTCTAAAATTCATGCCCAGATTTTCATGAAAAACAGATTAATGTAAAGAAATGCCTTTTTTCTTATTTTACATGCTCCAAGCAAGCTGCCATAAGGCATTTGTGGTTTGCCTATGTTCACATTAGCTAGAGAATGAATATATAAATAGTGCAATGAATTATTTCAAGACCAGTACAACTAAGTACAGTAAAACTCCAGTGGTCCGGCACTTCTGATGGTCTGGCACCATCTGGAACCCAGAAGTGCTCCGGGCAGCCGGACAATTGGAGCTGCTCTGCCACCGGCTTCCACTGCTGAAACTGACCAGCAGCTGACTTGGGGACGCCTGGGGCAGAGCGGCTGGGGTGCTGTCGGGTTGGTCCCGTAGCGCTGAGGGGCGCATCCCCCCCACTCCACCCAGGCCCCTTATAGCCCCCCTTTCCGATAGTCCGGCATATCTGATAATCCGGCACCCCCTGGGTCCTAAAGGTGCCGGATTATTGGAAGTTTACTGTATTGGCTTTACAGTAACATTCTTTTGTTACATCTGAATGCTATGGTGCATGGGAATGTCACAAATCCATTCTCTCAAGCTTGCAAACATAAAGACTGATCAATGCTTAGCTCAGCTGTCTGGCCTGTTTGACCAGAATGTACGTGCCTAAGTCACCTGATACTTCTCATATCTTGTTTCCTTCTACAGGGCCTTAAAGACACAGATCAATCCCACTCCCTGATGTAACTGCGCTTATGCCAAGGGAATTACAATAGGGTGAATTTGGTCTACACTCTGTTTATAAAATAGCACAGGGAAAAGAAATGTATTCCCTGGTGTGACTAAATAAGGTGAGATCCTCCACCGGTGTAAATTAGTGTGATTCTATTCGTTTCAGTGGTGTTACACCCTATTCAGGATTTAACCCAGAACCTATATAGAGAGGATATGAAGATTACAGTGTTTAGAAACAGCCCTGTTCACTTACTTGCACCAATTGACTTGCAAAAACTTTTTCTGAGATGACCTATGTAGTTTTGTCATTTTCACCCTACTCCATCTCGCTGAGGTTGCTTTGTTTCCCTTCACCAGATCACCTCCCCTGTGGAAGTTCTTCCTGCCCTCCACTGGCTAATCTTGGCCCTGCCAGTGGCTCTGCAGCTCCTTCTCTGTACTGGCCAAAGTTTCTAGAAAGGGTTGGCTACCTTTTGTGTGTGCATGGGCAAGGGCATGTGTGTGAATGGAGGTGTATGAGTGTGCACTGTTTTTGGGAGTGGGAAAGGATCCCTGAGGACTGGAAAGTTGTAAAATTGCTTTTAAAGTTATTGACAGACTGGCAAGCCATGAACAAAAGGCTCATAAAGATTTTAAATATTGTACTACCAGGTACTTGTACTGTACATCTGGTTTGCTCATGTCCTGTGCTGCCACATATTCCTGGTACTGTATGCAGTAGCATTCTATTGATACACTGTTTAAATTGGCAGCCAAGAAGCAGACAGATGGACATAGCAGTGAAGGTGTTAAGCCTGTCAATTTAGGTGTATCTTCAAAACATCACTGTGTAACAATATGAATTTGGGAGAATGAGGTAACGCTGACTATCACACGTGAATAGGTGAGTCATTCACAAAGTGCTCTGTCAGTGCTGGAAAGAAGGAGCCGTACCGCAGGATATGCGGGATGCTAAGATCGTCACCCTCTACAAGAATAAGGGCGAGAGAAGTGATTGCAACAACTACAGAGGCATCTCCCTTCTTAGCATCGTAGGCAAAGTATTTGCTAAGGTCATCTTGACCCGACTGCAGAAGCTGGCTGAACGTGTCTACCCGGAGTCACAGTGTGGTTTCCGCGCAAAACGGTCAACCGTAGACATGATTTTCTCCCTACGACAACTCCAGGAGAAGTGTAGAGAACAGCAGATGCCCCTGTACGTCTCCTTCATTGATCTCACCAAAGCCTTTGACCTGGTCAGCAGAGACGGACTCTTCAAAATCCTTCACAAGATCGGCTGCCCACCAAAACTGCAGAGTTTGATTGAATCCTTCCACACAGACATGAAGGGAACAGTGCAGTTTAACGGCAGTTGCTCCGAGCCTTTCAGCATCAGCAGCGGCGTCAAGCAAGGCTGCGTTCTTGCCCCCACATTGTTTGGGATCTTCTTTGCCCTGCTCCTTAAGCATGCCTTCGGCTCAGCAACGGAAGGAATCTACCTCCGCACCAGATCGGACGGCAAGCTATTCAATCTCTCTCGCCTCAAAGCCAAGACGAAGATACGCGAGACGCTGATCAGGGACATGATATTTGCCGACGACGCAGCAGTCGTCACACATACCCAGGAAGAACTACAGTCGCTGATGAGCCGTTTTTCCATGGCCTGCAAAGACTTTGGGCTGACTATCAGTTTGAAAAAAACAAACGTCCTAAGCCAGGACACTGTCACTCCACCAGCCATCACAGTAGACGACTACCAGCTTGACGTCGTCCACCAGTTCACGTACTTGGGCTCCACCATCACCGATAATCTCTCCCTTGACGCTGAGCTCGACAAGAGGATCGGGAAGGCAGCCTCTACTTTAGCCCGCCTGACAACCCGAGTGTGGACCAACCCCAGGCTGACAACCGCAACAAAGATGGCAGTGTACAACGCCTGCGTCATCAGCACCCTGCTGTACGGGAGCGAGACATGGACCACATACGCGAGACAAGAGCGGAGACTGAACGCCTTCCATCTACGAGGTCTGCGCCGCATCCTGGGTATTACCTGGCAAGACAAAGTCTCCAACTTCGAAGTTCTGACTCGAGCCGGCCTCCCCAGCATGTACACCATGCTCCGACAACGTCGCCTGCGTTGGCTTGGCCATGTACGCCGCATGGAGGACGGGAGGATCCCAAAGGACATCCTCTACGGGGAACTGGCATCTGGGAAGAGAACCACAGGGCGCCCAAACCTGCGATTTAAAGATGTCGTGAAGAGGGACATGAAAGCCATCGACATAAACACGCAGTCCTGGGAAGACCTCGCAGCAGACCGCACGAAGTGGAGGGGCACCCTGACCACACAGCTCAAGTCAGGCGAAACGAACATGATGCGTGCATCAGAAGAAAAGCGAGCCCGCAGGAAGTTACGCAACAACAACAGCCAGGGAACCACCTACAGCTGCGACTTCTGCGGCAAAGAATGCCTGTCCCGGATTGGCCTTTTCAGCCACCAACGACGCTGTCCCCGACGCTGTCCCAGACAATCCGACACGAACCAAGACGAGAACTAGGATACGTCATCCATGGTCAACTGACCGACGGAGGCCAACAGGTGAGTCATTCAGACATTTAGTTAAACCATTTTATAATTTTCTATGTGAGTGACTAATGTAGAGTTATGAAAGAGGAGGAAAGTTGGGGAAATAAAATCTGTCCTAAGAGCAGGGAACTACTAGAAGATGAACACACATCAAAGAACCAGATATCTGATTTTATTGCTCTAAATTGTAGAGGTGGCTGCAGTCCATATATCATTAGCTAGACATCATCTAGGATACATATACCATTCTTCCTATTCTGATTTTCTCCTCCTGTCACACTCTTCCTGATGCAAACCTGATCTGAAAACAGTGACTAGGAAATATTGTTGGATCCCCAGGGAAGAACTGTGGTCAAGAGTTCCTGCTCTACCTGCACAGAGAAGAGGGTTCCTGCTTTCCTTTAGAATGATGACAGTGCTACAGTCACCAGGATGAATTCTGCTTTGTTACCCTTCTAGAACTCTACAAAGTTTATGTGTAGATGTTTCTCATGCTCATTAATCAATTTATCCTCACAACATTCCAAGCGACTGAGCATTAGTGCCATTTCACAGGTCGGGAATTGAAGGAGAGGCCCAGGTCACAGCGGAATTCAGAAGAGAAGTTGGAAACAGAACCTTCATTTATTGGGTCCTATTTTGCTGCCTTAAGCTCAAGATCATCCTTCCTTATCTGAGAAGAAGAGAAATGCACAAGGTGTGAATGAAGACAGACTCTGATGAATATCATCTTTAAAATCATTCTTATCTATTTAATTTTCTAAGCCTAGTGAATATGAAAGCTAGCTGGTGGGTTTGTAATAAACACCTTGACAAAAAGGAACGTCAAAAAGATGCCACTTGCCAGATTCTAAATCTCCCTACTAATGGTAGTGCTGAATAGTAATATACTTTGCTTTAGTGTTAGTTGCTTTTGAAATGCAAAATGGATGGAATATTAGCCAGGCATTTTTTATGTTTGATTAAATTTTTGGTCCTATATATCAAATAATACTCAACTGCAACATTAAGCTACATGGCTTTCATATCTAAAAGTTACATTATTTGCACGGACTTGTAAATGGAGTGTCATTTAGTATTGAACTATGCCCTTAAACTACTGGCAGGGATCCCAGACTGTCTGCCACGTGACTGATACATCTGTATACACAGACTGTCTTCAGGACTGGGCTTGCATCATGTTTTTCATAGGATTTGGATTGGAAGGCAACAGTACTATTGTATGATTATTTCACTTGATTGCAACATACTGTTGGCTTCAAATAATGAACAATAATGTTTTCCAGATGTGTTTACTTCATGGCATGTCTAACTTACGAAAAATATTTTTTTTTTACATTACAGATGGTAAGAAAGAGAACTCGTTAATAAGTGCAGACACTTTCTTATTTTAAAAATAAATGTACTCAACTGCAATGTGTTGTAAAGCCATTTAGGCCCTGGACTCGTCCAGTGTGTTTAGGGCAGAGAAAGAGGACAGTAGGGGTCGATAAACATGCATGGCTCAGG